AAATTCTGATATATTGCCTTTGGAAACATGATAGTGTACATAATGGAGCAATCACTAACAGAGCCTTTTGTATATGTTTGCTGATGAGCAATATTTGGACCAACATACCACTTCCCCTTTGTACTTATTAACACCATGGTAAGGAAATGCAGCTGTGCACAAAGTGATTTATAGGAACTATTAAAATTCTGGAATTCCTTACTGTATTTTAAAACAGTAGCACAGAGACTGTTCCAAATAATGATCCGATAAATTTGGCATAGTTTTGTTTCATCTTAAAGCAGTTAGTCAGCATAAGCTAAAAGACAAAAAGGTGTCAACAGAAAAAATAACGGCATATATTAAATCTGTATCTCTGAACAAGACTATGTGAATTACAATCAGTATAGCAGTCCTTAAGAATGACAATATTCTGCTGTAACAATAGAAATGTACAGGATGTTAACAGATTTAGGCAGCATATCATGTATTGTGAAAGTATTTGTGAGTGGACAAATACTCATTTGTGCTTCATTTAAATTTCCATTTCAATCATATAGCAAAAAAAAAAAAAAAACCAACAGCAGCAACAACCACTTTTCTCTGATTATACAGAGATAAAAGTGCTATATGTGATTTGAATAGAAAATTGAATACCAAAATATTCTTCTCCCAAGAAAATAAAGACACAAGGTCTCTCTACATGTTTAAATCCCAAATGTTGAACTATTGAAATAAAGTATAGGCTTCAAAATCCAAAAAGCTATTTTAGGCTTAGAATTGACAGGAAAGTGGTAGAAATTTAGATCTATTCATTTCTCAATAGCAAATCGCAATTCAATATTGCTGGTTATTCTCTCTATTGATATAGGATTGTGAAAAAAAAATTAAAAAAATTATTGTTTCCATTCTCAAATAAAAGACTTCAGATGACTTCCCATCAGTTTTTAACAATTTAATTGTAACAAAACCCTGCTGTTTCAGAGCAACAGCTCATAACCATGTTTGGTATGAAAAAGAAACACAGTTCTTTAGAACCTGACCTTCACAATTTAGTTATGTACCATATGTAAACTAAAACTAGCTCCAATATAGAGAATACACTCCAATGTACATATAGTTGTTAAACGCAGGGAATTTTGGCCACCAGATTATAGTAAGCTATCCCCTTTATCTTTTATGTACACCAGGGGTGTCAAACTGGCAGCCTGCAGGCCAAATGTGTCACACACAGGCCAAGCCTACCCCAGTTCCGCGAAGGGAAAAAAAGGTCATGAGACATCAACATGACACCACAAGTTTGACACACATGACATACAGTTTTTTTAGTTTTGGTATAGAGTTCTATAGAAAAGTAAGGATATGGGTTTTTATCTCTGCTCCTGGTGTTTTCTTTCTTGTCTTTAGTTTTCTTCCCAATTTAACATGCATGTTGACCATCCCAAAGATACTAAATAAGATGTAAATACAAGAGCAATTTCTAATACAACTAGCAACTCAATCTAGTATTCACAGTTGATTTTTCTTTTGCAGAAAGCTTCCCCTTCAGCTCTTTTTTCTACAGACAAAAATATGGCAATGTATTTTTGTCTTTATATCTTTTTTAAATCTGCCCAAAGCAACTTGAAACCTTGCAAAATATTCGCATTGTGCATATGTATACTGTAATTTTTCCCAAATAATCCTGGAAATCATAGTTTCAAATATAAGACATCTTTCACTTACTTCCCCTAATTACTAACCTAATTATGTCTTGTAATCATTTAATGAGACATTAACCATTATGTAATTATTTAATGCCACACCTATTTTGTTATATGCAGAAATCACCCCAGTTGCTATTGTATTGTTGCATAGTTCAAGTATGAAGAGTTTTATACCTGTAGAAAATGAACGCCCATTTTAATTAAAATCTCTATTTTATTCTTGAGCTCAGGCAGCATGCATGACACTTCCAGGTGTGTAGAAAAGGGACAGAGCTGGTATTGCCATGCTGTAACGCTGTTTATGTTGTTTGATTCCTCCCCACCTTGTTTCCCCCTAGGAACATTGCTGCTTGAGTTTGATTTGGTTATTGTAATACAGGGTAAAAACAAGGCTGTTAAGTAGTCATTTGAATTCCTCTGTTAAAGGGAACACTATTTTACTGTACCCATGACAATATGTTGAGCAATCTGAAGAACTGCTGCAACCCTGGGGACTAAGAAAGGGAAAACTGTATTATTTGACTTTGTAAGCTAAAACCCATGGCAAATGTTTCTCCACAGCAGGAATCATAACATCTATTGATAAATAGTGTTCTACAAATATATTTCACATTCACATTTTATAAAAGCCTTGTCAACACATGCATTAATGAAGTTGTACTTCTTACAACCTATCCAGTGAGCTAAAATATGACATCATAATATTACAAGGCTGTATTTGAAATCATTTTTTAATTATTTTTATTCTTTATTTCTGATTTTATGTCGTAGGATATAAGCAACTCCAATTAAAACATTTTTTAATGAACATCCTTCTAGGAAATAATTGTTTTTAACTGCACTGACTCTCTTTATAAATTTAGTACTGGAAAAAAAATGTAGGTTTTTTTGTTTTCCAACCAGAAACAAGTCTGTCATTCAAGTCAAGATATCTAAATCCTTTCTAAGTATAAGCTCCCATTGCTGGTTTTGGGTATGATTGCTTTTCAGAAAGAATGTTTTCTCTAGGAATGAAATGTCACAGCTGAGAGATTATAATAGATTGGCATATGATCTGAAATTTGAAGATGTAATATAATATTAATAAAATGTCTGGGCAAAGTTCTCTTTATTCTTTTAATGTTTATTTATTACTGAACATGATGTAGAACTCTTTAGGCTGAAATCTGAAGGACATAAGAGACAACAAGTGCTTTTACAGTACTCACTCTTCATACCAACCATTTGACAGTCCGGACTAGTAAATGGCATTTTTTAAAAACATACTGTTGAATCATACCGACCTTCTTGTTTTTCTATTAACAATTAAGCAAAAGATCCTAATTCCTTTGCTTTTTTTCAAAGTAGTGTTGCATAACTATTTCTTAAATGAAACTAACAATACAATCCGTTGGAAAATCTCCTAAACTAGATAACAATTGCAAGCATGTTCTCTCTGAAGGAACATAGGGCATCTAGAAGGAAGCATCTGCCATCAATCTTTAGCAGCAATGAATAAGGAAGACTGGTAAGAATTTCAGTGTGAAATATCAAGCTTTTATCTCATATGCCTGAATGTCAGGTAATATAATAGTCTTTTTTCTTTAAATATAACTCTCAATCTTTGCTTCAATGATACCGTACCATAGCAGCTGGGTAGGGTGTTGCTATTTATGTGACTCAACTGAGCTAACCTGACAACTTTTCAGAATTGTTCTTATACTGTAAAAGCCAGATTAAACCCTACATAAATATTCTGTGTATCCAGCATTGGTCCAATCACTCCGCAAAATAAAAGCAGATATCTCAGATGTTTAAAGAGATGCTATAGCATTTAATTGCCAATCTGTCCAGCTTCCTCAGATAGAATGGGATGGGTGTCCTTTTGCTTCCTCTAGCACAGCAGTCTTATTTATGTATTCTGCACATGAAGAAAGTTGGGATCCCATCCCACTTTCTTTCACTACTTGACTGCGACAGTTGCAAATATGTATGGTCTACACAATCCAATATATATTGTCCCTAAAATGCAAGCCAAAATTTTCCAGAGTATTTTAAAATGCTATGCATACTATCTGGAGCATATTAGAGGAAGGGCAGGATATAAACATGACAATAATTTAATGGATTTGGAAAATATGCATTGTGACATTCATTTCTATGAAACTAAAGTGATGATCTTCAACACAGAAAACCAGGATCTTCTGGGGTAAGAGTAGCCAAGCTTTATTGTACTTCATTTTATTGTACATATTTTTAGTAGGTGTCCTCTGGGCATAAGAAGGTATTACCCAAAGTGTGTTTTTTGCAGTTGTTGTTTTTCCCTAATCCAGGGAAGCTTCCTCAGAAGTGAAGATTTATTTGCAGCATTTATAGATTGAGTGGAATTTGAATAGAGCTTCTGGAAAAAAAATTAAGTGACTAATGGATGGAAATGATGCCAACTCTCTGTTATACAACACCTAAAAACTTTGCTCTTCCTAAGATCTAATCCAAAACACAAATTAGTTGTGTTAATTACTAATTTTCATCCCAAAAAACCACCCCAAAAAAGAAAGTGTATTTCAGATATCCAATACCTGCTCAGGAATCATATTCACCATATATATGTAGAAAGGGAACACACATTCATTTCTAGACATGTTCATGTTAAATTAAATGATGGCAAGTTGCAAACTCAAGTTTATGGAAGTCCACCCACCTAGACTGAATCTTAAACTTCTATAGTAATTAATACACAAATACAAGAGATCAGCTATGTAAGATCCATCAGCAATAGAGCAAAAACACTTTGCAGCTCAGCAGCTCTTATAAAAGAACTCAACTACCTTCACAGCATATCCAGTAAGAACAGGTCCATCTCCACCTCAGCAATTCATAAAAACAAATAAACCACGAAACAAAACAGGATTTCTGAAGCCACCAGGTGTCACACCCCTGGAAAACTCTAGAAAGAATCTTGTGTAAGCCAAAGACTACAATCTCTGCCAACTTCACACAGAACTTCAACTGTCTGGGTTGCAACCAATGCTACATAGAACAGGGCACCATTTATATCAAAGAATCACTGAATACATACCTGCAACAACGATCTAAAATCACAACGACAATCACAAGTCACCCACCTCCACAGAATGAACCACACATTTGACTGGGAAAATAAAGAAAGTGTTGACCAGAGAAGCATCAGAAGAGCCAGAGAATTTCTGGAATACTGGCGTGCAAATAAAGGAATTCTCCAGAAATCAATGGAAATGATTCAATCTACCATCCAGTCAAGCATCCAATTCAAACCATACACAAAAGAATAACATGAACATTAGTCAAAATAAGAGCCATATCACCAAGCAACTGATACCTCCCAGGAAGTCTCCAAACACTGGCCAATCCTACAAAAAAAAGGAAAGAAGTTACTTCAAGATAGAACTTTTCAACTTCAATATTGATCTCTTTAACATGGGAGAACACCAACTAAAAGTATGGATAAAGAAGGCACCTACCCTTTTTCTTTACTAAGAACTACTTACTTTTGGGATCTGCATAGGGCTCACACGGAAGTGTAGGCATTTTTCTTGAGTAAATTTCAGCTGTAATTTCCCGTAAGGAAAAGTAATGAGTTCACAGATTACACACAGAGGAATTAGGAAATAATATGATGAAATAAATTTGTATATTTAGTGATTTCAGCTGACCTAGGATTCTGATGGAATAGTATTTGCTAATCCTTATAAACCTATCCTTTCAAAATGGAATGACAGCCTTTCCCTGGGGCGTTCCAAATTTGCTGAACTCTCTTCCAACTTCAAATGGGACCTGAGGTCCAATCCAACTGGAGTAGTTTGGCTGGTAATTCATCCTAACAATAGTAATAGCACTTAGACTTATATTCCATTCCACAGCACTTTACAGTACTCTCTGGGTGGTTTAAAATGTCAGCATATTGCCCCAAACAATCTGGGTCCTTCTTTTATCATCTCAGAAGGGTAAAAGGCTGAGTCAACCTTGAGCCCCATCAGGATCCAACTCCAGGCTGTGGACAGAATTTACCTGCAATACTACATTCTTACCACTGTGCCAACAGAGCTCCTCATCAAAAGTTATCATGCACATGCAGCATTCACAAATTATATATATCCAAAACATTTAGGGTGCTTTTCAAACTTTGTTTCGTTATTGATTAGATATTTTTGTTATGCCTTTTGTTAAAAGGCAACATTATTCTATTTTTACCTTTGAAATTGCCTTTCAATGTTTGCTCCAGTGGCTCCAAATGGGTGAAAAACTTCAGACCTTCCCTCTTTAGTAGCTTTATTTATGTGGCCTTCAATGGCAAATATCTGTGGTCTCACTGCTTCCAAAAATGCTGTTTCTCCATGCTTTATTGTTCTATCACCAGTCAATCACTGTATCACTACTTTCATTGTTTTGCAGAGAAAATAAAGACATGTACATGTGGTTTCAGGACTCAAAGCAACCTTGAAAGCAATGCAAGCAGAATTAAATGCAGTTAAGTACAGTTAAAAGATAAAACAACCAAAACTTAATCAGCTAGGAAGTCAGAACTTTCAAAATATACTAAGTTAGAACTTTATCTCAAAGTAATCCCTGATTTCAAACTGAGCAGAATCAAATACTAAATGACTCAGTCAAGGTAGAATCTTCCCAAACATGTAAAAGCTAATGCATATACAGGCCTGTGCATGATTAATGTGTTTTCTTTGGCTTAGTCAGCTCAACTTGGGAGTGGAATTTGTGAATGGAGTCTGAGAAAGTTTCACAAGTAAGAATTGCTTCTTTAATATTCACCTGTGTGACATCACCATTAAGCCTCCAGTTGAGAGGCAACAGATACTGGGAAATTAGGCTTGACCATTGTGCAAAAGATTTTTAGATTTTATCATTGACTCATTAAGGTGCAAGGACATAGATATGTTTGAAATTATTTTTAAAATACATTTTACAATTCATTTTTTAAAAAGCACCAACAAACATTTGGGGGGAAAAACAAGCAGACAAAATGAAACGCAGAAGCAATCTTGGTGTTACATGTCCTGATTTGACCCAATTTCAAGGATGAGATTCAGAGGAAAACTAAAATGAAATATATAGATCAAGATAGGGGACACTTCCCTCTTTAGTGTTCTTTGAATCTACAGACAACTCCTGGAGTTGACAAAACCATAGTTTAGACTAAGTTCTGAGATGACTTGGATTGGTTTCAGAGGTGATATTCAGCAGGTTCTGGCTACTTCTGGAGAACCAGTAGCGGGAATGTTGAGTAGTTTGGAGAACCGGCTAATTACCACCTCTGACTGGCCCCATCTCTATCTGTTCTCTGCCTCTTGAATCCCAGCTGATTGGCTGGGTCTTCTTTTGTTGCCCTGCACAGGAGAAGGGAGCTGGAAAGCAGATTAGTGGGGTGGGGGGAGGGAATTGAGATTTTATATTATCCTTCCCCTGCCACACCCAGCAAACCACACTCACAGAACTGGTAGTAAAAAAAATTGAATCCTACCACTGATCGGTTTTAAGGAATAAAACTAGCCATATTGGAACAATTTTTTTCACATAGAGAAATTTATTGGATCAGATGATGTTTCCTTAAAGTTCCCCTGAACTTTCACCAATCCAAGAAGTGGGCTGAAATATTGGCATTATTCGCAGCTAAATGTTGTTAAGATTTTGACTAAAATTGTGAAAATGAGGTTTGAGCCCACATTTAGCTATGAAAGCTCACAGGGTGACTTAGGAGCAGTCAGTTTTTTTTCAGCCCAATATACCCCACAAAGGTGCTGTAGGGGAAAAATAGAGGGCAGAGTTCCACATACACTGCCATGAACCCCTAGCCATTATCAAATAAATATTAGAGACTTTAAAGACATATGACCTTGATATACTGTAGGTAAGTATGTGTGTATATATAACATTACATCTGCAAAGAGCAGGTCAGAAGCTGTTTTGCATTTCCCTTGTCTGGTAATTCTGTCTAGACTACCAGGATGATGTTGCAATTTGTCATCCGCATACAACTGGAGTCCCACCAAGGCCTATCAGTCAAATATGACTCCCCCTCCCTCATCTCTCCAAGAACATTGGACAGCCTGATCTATATGCCATTGTAATTTTGCCACAATGACTTTAACATAGATTCATTCATGGTCATATTACTAAGCAGTGTTCTCGGGTGGAAGACAGTGTTCCCAAAAGGGAGTTTGATCAGCTCTGCACTTCACATCACACTTAGAATCCCTGATACCAGTTCTCCACAAGATTCTAGCCTTTTCATTAAATTGCAGCAGCAGATGGTTCTCTTTCTGAATCTTTCGCACCATTCATAGTCTGTGTCATGGTGAAGAAGACAACAGGGACAGAAGCTGGATACGAACCTGGAAATCGGAACTTAGAAGCACAGTATCCATAATAAAATGAAATAAATAAATATCCTTTCCATTCATAAGAACAAATTTATGTTTTTGTATGTTTCCAGTTTGAAGAAGTAGCACCACTGCTCTCTCCTTTTCTCCCTCTCTCCTCCCCTTATCTCTCTCTTTTAAAATCACTTGTCCGAGAACCAAGATACTGCTACACCCTTAAAAAGAATCCATATTGGAAACATCATAACAAGTCTAAACAAATTATGTTAACAGAAATAATTGCTTGACAGGCTACAGCTTGTTTCTGATTTTTCATCCAATATATACATTGTTTCTAAGCTTTAAGGATGGATGCTGCAAAGAAAAACTTTGTATAGTTGTTCAAAATATTTGTGTTTGTGGAGCACAACCTGTAACAAAATGTAACAATTTTAGCACTCTCTCTTCAGGCCTCTCTCTAACTAGCCAAATACAGTTTACACAATCATAGTTAATCACAAATGGCTAGGCTTGAACAAAATTCCCAGTTTAAAATCCACCCACAAAACCCCAAGTTTATAAAATAATTCTGTGATTTACAAATGGGTTCAAAAATCCCATTACATCATTGTGGTTTGCATGGCTTTGGCTTCGTGTAATGTATGTTCTAAACCTAGATAAACTAGGGTATCTTGGCTATATAATTTCAAATAACTTTTTGATGGCAACAGAGTTCAGATTATCCCTTTGCGCCGTGATCCATCAACTGGATTTTTGAACCTCTGATATTGTAGCCCTTTTATGACTTTGAATATAGAATATAAACTTTTTGGTTTTTTGTAGGGTTTTTTGTCCAACACTTTTTAATTTTATTCATCCAGCAGCTATTTAACAGTCTCGATATATCTTATATTTTTTCACCTGCAAAAATGTGTTTGCTCACCTGTCAGTTCCCCACGCTAATTGTACCAACTTTGTATGTACCAGTACCATAATCATAACAAGGATATCTTCAAGTGTATTCTACAGAAATGCATTCATGTAACTGCATGTACAAATTTATTTGCCAACACTATAATTGCCATCAATATATATATATTTGAATGTACTCTTTGGTTTGTATGATGTGCAAACCCTTTTTGGACATGAGATTTTATCACCAGTGTCAGGTAAAAAAGGAACAAAAGCCCAAGTCTAGAATGCATTTTTTTAAAAACTTATCTTTCTAAACCTCTCCCTTGTTTTCAGACCACTTTGTTCATGATCACTTGATCATAATCAAGGGGAGAAGCAACCTAGAACTAAAGAGACCAGTAGAATAGCTTTGCCTTCAGAAATCGTGGGTGCTCCATCACTGGAGGCTTTTAAGAAGAAACTGGACAGTAACTTGTCTGGAATGGTATAGATCTTCTAGTCCAGGGGATTGGACAAGAAGACATCCAAGGTACCTTCCAACTCTATTATTCTGTTATAGTTTCACTTCTGTTTGTCCTTACAACAGGAGCAGGTATTAGTAACAAAACATGCCTTACTGGATGAACTTAAGATCTATTAGAATACATAATTGGGTTGAAATTAGGCAGGCATTCACCTTGGTCAATAGACTGAAACAGCTTTCCTACAGAAATTGGTCTAAATTATACTTTAGGGGAGGAAACCATTAACTGGGCAGAGAAAACACCATTCCGTAAAGAAAGTGTTACTATCAGGAGATAAAAAGGCAATTAAGGAAGGAAAACTTTAATATTCAACTGTGGCAGGCAGAGAGTGAAAAGAGAAATATTTTCCACTCACAACTCATTCAAGGGAATTTATTAGCAAATCCAAAGCAGCTATGGATACTTTACACTTTGCCATTAAGAACAAATTACTTTGACAAGCATCCACTGACCGAAAGTGCACCTCTTTTGACCTGCAAAGTACCTTAATCCAGGCCTTGAATTTATGACAACCACAAGCTTAAATGAAATACTTAAAAGATTGTAGGTAATCATTCCTGCTCTGATGAAGTAGCAACCCACTAAGGGAAAGCAAAGCAATTTTGCCATCGCCCACAAATGTGAACCTTTGTAAGCCACAGCCGGTACTACAAAACATAGCTCACCCAAACAACATTTATAATCTGATAAAGAAGCTACTGTGTGGTATCCACCAAACACAGAGAGAGAGAGGAGTAAGAGACTATGTTCAAGTCAAGTGGATAAATCTACATAAAGCAGTAAGACTACTCCGAACTCCCTATAGAGCTGGAATTCAAGGCAATTGAGGACAGGGAAGGGAAGCGATTGGGAATTCCTCCGGAACAAGAGTATAGCAAGATAGCAATAGCACTTAGACTTATATACTACTTCACAGTGGTTTATAGCCAGAGGTGGTATTCAGCAGGTTCTGACCAGTTCTGGAGAACTGGTAGCAGAAATTTTGAGTAGTTCAGAGAACTGGCAAATACCGCCCCTGACTGACCCCGGCCCCATCTATTCTCTGCCTCCTGAGTCCCAGATGATTGGCTGGGTCTTCTTTTGTTGCCTTGTACAGGAGAATGGAGCTGGAAAGCAGGTTAGTGGGGTAAGGACAGAATAGGGATTTTGCAGTAACCTTCCCCCAGGAGTGGGGAGGGAATACCACGCCCAAGCCACACCACAGAACCAGTAGTAAAAAATTTATGAGTCCCATCACTGTTTACAGCCCACTCTAAGCCAGGGGTCTCCAACTTTGGCAACTTTAAGCCTGGAGGACTTCAACTCCTAGAATTCTGGCTGAGGAATTCTGGGAATTGAAGTCCTCCAGACTTAAAGTTGCCAAGGTTGGAGACCCCTGGCCTAAGCAGTTTTACAAAGTCAGCATACTTGCCCCCAACAATCGAGGAAGAGGAAAAGGGAGAGTTGGCTGCCATGAGGCAGCAACAGGCCCTGCTGGAGCAAAAGTAACTCAGGTTGCAATGAAACCTCGCCTTGACATCCAGAAAAAGGGGCGCCTTCTGCAGCCCTTTCGTCCCAAAAGGCAAAAGTCAACAACAAACACCGCCCACTCCCCCCAGCGCCCTTTCCAGTCCCGAGGAAACCTGACTCAAATGGCGGGCGGGGCTCCCGCACCCACCTGGTCTGCCCTTCCAAGACCGGTATTCTCCGCCCTTCGGCTGTTGCTCTTCCTCTTCTCCCTCTCCCTCCCCGCGGCCGCCGCCGCTGGTAACCAGCCCTGTTTTCATTACTCCCCACCCGCAGGGAAGGGGTTGGGTTAAGCCGTCGCCAAGAGTCCAGGCGCTCCAAGCGGTGTCCCTATTTCCCTTCCGGAGAGGTGAGCGGAAAGGGTTGCTGCTGCTGCTGCCGCTGCCGTCGACCCGGAGTTCAGGGCGCGAAAAGTTCAGGACGGGGACTGCACCATGGCTGGATACCTCGGCCTCTGGATACTCTCGGTGAGTTTGGAAGCCCACCTGTTGCTCCCGACGGTCAACTCCTTCCGGCTCTTGGGGAGATGCCCGCTGAGGAAAGGAAAGGAGAGACAGGGAGACCCTGAGTTTGGGGGTCAGGAACCGGTGCGCTCTCCGCTGCGGGAGAATGTGGGGCGCCGGTCGGCACAATGGCTCCTCTTTCACCCGAACAGCCGCGCCACGCCCTGCGAACCCAGCGCCGGAACCTCAGGAGGTTCATTCGAGATGCTAATCGCGGTTATCGCAGTGTGGAAAGAGGTTGGGTTTTTTGGTTTTTTTTTAAGTGCCTCTCGGGGGAGAGAAAGTCGTGTGAAGATCTGGAGGTGTTTGGGTATTGCGAGAAACTTGTTGAGGCTGCCATTTTATATGTAGTATATGTGCGCTTTTCTTGGAAGCAACTGGCTTTAAATCTCGACTGGCTTGTCCAGTGGTTGGTTTGCAGGATGAATCTGGAAATTTCTGTTTTGTAGGTTCAAATTCTACTTACATTTTAATCGTTTTGCTTTAGAAGGACAATTTAGATTTGAATAAGGAAGGCAGGAATAATTCAGGAAGTTCTGGAGCTCTGTTTCTTAACCTCTACAACTTTTAAGATATTTAAAGCCCAGAATTCCCCAGCTGGCATATTGGTTCTACACAACTTAACACAACTTAACTTTTTGGAGATTGAAAAACACTGCTCTAGAGAAAGATTGTTCCTTGCTCTGAGGATGAGGAAAGAAATTGCCTACCAAATTTCCAGCCTTTGAATTGCCTGCTAAAATTCCTCCCTCTACAAAGGCTGTCAGGCTGCCCTGGGATCTGGTGCCCTCTAGATGACTGGGGAAGAGGATTCCCGCAATCTTCTGTGGCATGGTTGTTGGAGTAGCAGTTCCAATACACCTGTATAGTCCTGGACCTAGACTGACCTGTGATAAGTAATCTCTTGCTTGGGTCCTGTGGGATGTGGTCATGTACAAGCAACTAATGGGGGGGGGGGGGCAGGAGGAATACATTTGAAGGGAGAAAACATGCAAAATAGGCCAAAGAGGGGGCTATGTGGAATGTGACAACTGGAATGAAATAATATAAGTAAGGTGAGATAATTCTGAAGAAGGGTAGAATATGTGTGTTATATGTTGATGTAACATGTGTATATGTATGTATACACATATATTGGAAGCAGAATTAACCCTAGCCTTCCTCTTTATAGGAGGCAGCTGTTTTTGCCTCCTCTTGGCAGTTTTTGAAGGTTTCTATCCACCCGCTGAGGAAGGAAAGCAGGCTGCTGGTCTGGCAGAGCTGCTGTTGTGATTAAGAGAGTTCTGTATGGGATGGCAGCCAATAAAACCTGTTAAAATAATATTTTTGGCAGAATTACTAGACAGTTGTAAAGGTAATTGGTGACAAAACGTTCCATGATCATAAGGTGCAGACAGGTTCATTACCTCTTATCTGCTGTTGTGGTAACATCTCCATCCCCAGGGAAAGAGACATAATACTTCATTTATGTTGACAAGTAGAATTTCCCCACCTTTCAAACAGCAGGCATTTTCAAAGAAATATTATGCTTCCTTCAGCGTTGTTTTGATCAACCTTCGCCCACTGAGTGCCATTCAGATTTTGGACTTCAGCTTCTAAAATCTTGGCCTTCATGCCCAGTATATCTGGATGAGGCTGTCCCAGAAAGATTAGCTTAGGTCAGTGTTTCTCAACCTTGGCAACTAAATTTTTTAAAATGTCCAGGGCATTAAAAGTTAGGAAAAACAAAAGTTGGTGACAAGTCACCAATTTTTGATTCCCCCCTCTTTTTCTTTTTATTCTGTGACTCTGCTTGCCAGTCTTTCTCTTCTAGCCAAGAATAATTATTATTATTTTCTTTTAGAAATGTTGGGGATGATCAAGGAAAGCTATTGTGTATTATTTTTATTGTATTATTTTTCCTCATAGGCACTGCACTGGAGATCACTGAAAAGAAATTTTATCATCAGTCATTTTCATTTCCCTCTCATATTTTTATACCATCATGAAGATCTGCAATTAAAATAGTTTATGAAACTCACAGCAATGAAAAAAGAAAAATTATGTTAAATTCTATTGCAGAAGTTTAGTTTCAAAATGTAAAGTTGCTGAGCTGAAAAGTGAACATATTATATATTTAGGTAGAAAGACCAAAATTTTACCAAAGAAAATCGTCTTATTGTTTCAGACTCTGAAAGTAATCTAGATGTTTCAGTTAGCTGACTGAAAGCATCCAATCTTTTTTTTAAACTTATGGGGATTTCCTATTGAGATTTCATTATGAATACTTGCATATACCTTGACTGCTAGTTATGGGTTGTTGTTTTTCATTGTTGTGTTTTTAACTATTGTAAGATGCCCAAAGTCGCAATCATGAATCGGGCAGTATAACTTAAATAAATAACACAGAATTTCATTATTTGTAAGCAAAACAAGCAAATTTAATGCAGAAGTTACAAATAAAATTCAGAGAATTGTTTTCAGAGAATCCCAAAACAAGGAACAACAAAAGATTTAGAAAAAGGCAGTTGGATAACTCCTTTATGAGGAAACTCACTTTATTAAGAAAAAACAGTGCCTGCCTAATTTTGAATCTTCCAAGACATCTAAAATATTTTTAGTACGCTAGCAGAGCTTTACCAAAAATAATGGGATATATTATAATCCAATACAGTGAATGGAACAGATCAAGGTAGCTAATAATTTAAGTTGCGTGCCACCCAACTCTCAATAATTCTGGGAGGAGTATATAAAACCATGTACAATGTGGAGGAAAATGGCTTCTTATTACAGTTCCTCCTTCTCACAGTACTAGAATTTTCACTCTTTCTGCGAAACTGACTGATAGTAAATTCAGAAGAGACAGAAAGGAATGCTTCTCTAGACAAAATAGAATTTTTGGAATGCGCTACAATAGGGTATGGTGTCAACTTTTTCCTTAAAAGGAATTTAAAGTGAATCTGTTGAATTAATGGAGAATCAGCTCTGTCAGGGATATTGGTCATGGCAGCTAAATAAAATGCAATAAAGAGTAATATTTCTGAAGGTTATTTGAGGGGCAACAAAAGTATTAGTGAACTAACTCAAAGCATCTACCTAGCCACCTTCATAAAATAGATATTAGACCAGATGGATGCTAAATTTCAGAAGGCCTTTGAAAGTCCTGGAATGCAACTTCAGATATTTCCAGTCTAAATTCAGCATTAAGGAGTGTAGAGGTAGACTGATCATCCTGTAGTTGCTCTCCCATCTTGGTTTCCTTGTTTGTTTTAATTTAGAATAATATCTGAAATGCGGAACCAGTTGGAAGGTATTTTGCATAATGTTGAAATCTAGACTCAGCATTACTCAGGGAGCCTTCTACATACAGGCGAAGCTTTTTGCTTCATTTTGAAAAGCAAGAGCCATGGAAATGGAGATAGAGTGACAGAACCATCTTGCTACTTCTTGTATTCCTTGCATGTTTTTATAAGCAAAATTAATATAAGTAAAATTAATTATAAAATTAATTTTATAAGCAAAATTAAAAGTTTTTACTTAAAAGTTAAACTATGTATTACTCTGTTTTAACTGTTTGTTATTGAAAGCCTCCTTATAAATGGCTTTTAATCTTGTTGGGGGGGAAAGATAGAGCTAACTATGTTTGTTTCTGAAAGGGTAAAAAATAGGAAAAAAGAGAGAATGGGTAGGATTTTAATGGAAAAATGACATATTTTTAGTCCATTGTGTCTTCAGTATAAAATTCAGTTGCCTTTAAGATGTACTGTCTCTTTATCAAGAATTTTCTTCATTACTGAATAGGTAAAGAAGCTAATAGAAAACTTATTTTAGATTCACCAATTCTTCATACATTGATTGCTGATCAATATCTTTCATTTCTAGAATATCTCAGGTTTGGAGGCCTTGCCTCGTTGCTATTTTTCAACACTCAGTATAATAAAGGAACTCTTAGTTGGGAATTTGAAATGTTTTAAATGGGGTTTTTTTTTGCCTTCAGAAGTTGTGGGAGCTTTATCACTGGAAGCTTTCAAAAAGAGAGTGGACTGCCATCTTTCAGAAATAGTGTAGGGTGTCCTGTTTGGGTGTGGGGTTTGGACTAGATGACCTTCCTTCCAACTCTGGTAATCTGTTAATGTTACAAATTGGAAAACAAAATACAGAAGTCCAGATTTTTCTCCCCGAGTTCAAACTTGGCTAGTTTCATTATATTGTCTTTGCCAGCCTTGTTAGATTGGAGGATGATAAATTTTGTTTGGGATAAAGAGCATTTTTCCATAATACTCCTGAAGGAACAGAACTCCACCTTAATCTAAATATACTTCCTCCTCTCATGGTTGAGCCCCAGATTTTTCTTGTATAATCCACACTAAAGCTTATCACTGGATATAAATAAGCAAGGCATGTTTTTTTCTTGTATTGCAAACTTTGCCTTCAGAACCAACTGGAATAGAAAAACCAAATTGTATGATGAGTGGGGAATTTTAAACTGAAGGTGCAAATGTATTATTTCTTTTTAGTGTCAGTTTCCCTCTTCTAACTTGTTTTGTATTCTGTTTCTCATTTGTGCCATCTTTTCACTGCTATTAAATAATGTATATATAGTTGCCACCTTACATAAAGGAAATTGGGCTAAATAAGTATGTCCATATGCATGCTACTTCAACGTAAGAACCATTGCATTCAAGGGCCTTGCCACAAAGTAATCATGTATAGGTTTATGGATCATTGGCCTGGATTTCTGGGTCATTATTTTCTCTATGTAAGTATATTTGGGACACATGTAAGTAATTCTTTTGTGAAAAGAAAATGATTTGTGTCTATAAGTAGATGCGGCATCAATTTTCAGAATAGGCTAAATATTTCAGGAAATTAATTTTAATCATTAATTGAATCAAGTTAAATTTTCGTCCTTCTGTTTTGAAGATAACTTCTAGCCAATTAATGTATTCACATTGATGCACCAATGCAATTTGACTTTGTTCTACTTACTTTTCCTTTGAAGGTGGCTATCTTTCATACATGATCATTTTCCTTACGTTTAATTATGGTAGTATATGTTTTTGTCTTGCTGAAGTATAGAAGTCTCCCTAAGCTCCAAAGAAATTATGAGTACTTCTGTTTACTATATTTTTAATTATTTTAAGCATACTGTATGGGTTATATTTCTTCATCAGTGGAATTTATTGATTTTTTTTAGTCATATTATTATATTATATTTAGTCGTATTTTTTAATTGTATCTCCATAAACTATTTTGTTATTTTATTTGTAAGCCACTTAAAGCAATTTTTTTGGCAGAATTGTGAATGAGCACTAGGTAATAGCAGATACAGAAACCTGAATCTTTCCCACTATTCTTTGGCAACCTGAAGTTTTTCAGCTCTACATTTTAGACAAACTTCCTCAAGGCTTCTAACCAATGAAAACTGAGTTTTCACACACTGTATTTGAAGAACACCACACTGAAGAAAGTTAGTTTAAGAGGTATTTGCGATGAATCAGTTGACTGAGTTCAGTAACATCTATGACTTCCATGCATTGCAGAAATAATGATATCGCCTTTTCCAGCCTGGTGTCTTGTAGAAAAATTGAGTGTTCAGTCGCAGTAAAATAGTCTGAATGCCCAAAGGAATTTTAGTTGCAACATCAACTATAGGGAGTTCATTGGGTTCAGTGATGCATAGCTACATGATTCATTGCAAATACACACTTAAGTTTCAGAATTGAATATAACTAAGATATATTAACAAGGGGAAAGTGCATTCTTATCTCTACTTTCCCTTAAGTGGGAGTATCACATCTGCACATAGAAGAATGCTATTTAGGGATTGGAACTATATTTGCAACACAGAGAAAGTTATTTCAGCTCTACTGATTCTATTATCAAAATCTGGACTAGGTGTAAATAAAAGCACAGAGCTCAAAATACCTCTGTAATTTTATAATTGGCGTGCTAATAACCTCCAAAGCATGGCAGTGATCAGAAAAATCTTCCATGTGCAAGCCCTAGAAATAGTGGATGAAACTAGAATTCTATAAATCCAGAAGGCACAAACTGGGTGAATGCTTAACTGAACTCATATCGAACTCTTAAGTAGAAGGACCTGGAATACTAGGGGAAAGAATTCTTATATACATTGTTGTTTCTTATTTGATTGGAAAGTCCAAATAATGTGCTCATTTTCGAGAACATCTTTCCTGCAGTATCTACCTCACCAATTTATTTGGCAGGATGTGCTCTGGGTACCTTCATGTAAGCACTGACCCCAGAGCTGTCACATAGCTGTACCCGGGAATGAAGTCTCTCCCAAGTTCAAAATGGCCTCCACCTTGCTGATTGTTTTGAAGGGACCTGAGGTCGTGGCTCTTGGTTGGCATGACTGAAGCTATATTGATCCCTATATCTTTCTAAGCCAAATAATACCAGCTGAGGGCATGCAGAATATTAATATATTTGGGTGGTACATGTGAGGAAGTTTACTTTTTTGTTCCCTGCAACAATCCTTTTATTGTTGCTTAGTGGGGGAGTCCATCTTCTGAAAGCCAGTAACAGTTTAAGACAGGGGTCCCCAATCCCCAGTCTGTGGCCTGGTACCAGTCTGTGGTCCGTTGGGAACCAGGTGAAGTTCCATTTGCACAAGCAACAGGTGCACACATGAAACCATCTCTTCCCCTCCCCTGCTTCCGCCCCTCCCCACTGACAGTCCATGGAGTCGGAAAGTTTAGGGACTGCTGGTTTAAGAGACAGGACAAAACAACAGTTTCTTATTGGCCTGAAGTTGTTCAGTTTAATATTTACAAAGAAATGTGTTCATTGTATCTACTTAAATATTTTTCCCCTGTACAGAAACTTGACTGTAAAAACAAAGAGGATTTAGGTGTCAGTCTGAATTTTCTAGAATGAGGGATGCTGTGATGAAGGAGAATTGGAACAGTTGGCCTTGTTCCAAAATATTTTAAACAATGGGCATTATCAAAGAAAATTGATTCAGGTGATAAATATTGATTTTAATACAAAGTTCAATAGCCTGATATAAAGTGCTTGTTCTAGAGTTTCTCAAACTTGGCAACATTAAGATGGGCAACTTCAGTTGCCAGAATTCCCCATGTAGCGATTTGGGGAATTGAAGTCAATACATATTAAAGCCACTAAGATTGAGAGAAACAGAGCTATAGAGTTAGATCCCAAGTCTAGTTAATGTGTTTCAATATCTGAGAGATTGTAAAGGAGTCCATAATGTTCTATTTATGTATAACAACTGTGTCATACACACAGAGCACTTCCTCAAGAAACTATGGTTTATACCTGCATCCTTCTGACAGAGACATGAATCATATCAGGACATGACAGGCTTTGACATGGGAAAAGAAAATGCATTTATCACTAAAACTAAAGAAATCCACCCTAAAATAGAAACCTTCCGTAGACTAGAAATAATTTTGAGAATTTCCCAAGATTTGAAAGACAATAATTTATATTACAATAATTATATTCCATATTAATGGCTGGCAATTTCCCGGATAAACATTGTGTATACTTTTAATTTCCTTAGCACAATGTTGTTCTTTGTTCACAATTTAATAAAAGCTTAACTAAGCAAATTAAACAAAATAGCTTTTTAAAGGGTGAGTTGAATGAATGAATACCAAACTGACATTTCTTGATCATCTTATTAATGATACCTTAATTGTGTTTGACACAATTATTAATTGTGTTTGACTACATGTGGTAAGCCACTATTTAAAGAATAGAGATGGCTACATAATCTTAGATACTAAAATGTTAATCTAATTAATCAATTTCAAGTTTTGTTTCAACAGGAAAGGGGCATTATTACATGCCTGGATCATGTTTGAAAAGTTGTATTTGCTTTCTCTGTTCTATTAACACTTACCTAAAATGCAACTGTAACAACATTGAGGCATTAATGTTGATTTAACTGTTTTCAGGTTTCATTTGTATCAACGTCTATGAAATTCCACAGTTTACTTCCATTTTTTGACCATATTAAATGTGAAAACCTGCTTATTTGGTTTTAAATATGCATGTTTTGTTATTTAAAAAATAGTTTAAATATGCTTAATATTGTCTGGGTGGAGTAATGTGCACTATTTTAACTGAATTCCACTGATTCCAAAATATTGCTGTGCTAATTTTCTTAGTGGTTTATATTGGGGGGCCAGTTATATTTTTAATTGCTGTGTCTGTTTATTGCAGAGTTATGTAATCTTTGGAAATGGACTTCATTTAGAGGTAAGAGACTATCAATTTTAAGGGGTTTTCTGTGTATATTTCTGTATATTACTAAGAAGGTTTTTAAAGATTTAGGCAAAATGTTCTAAGTAATTTATTTCCAACAGTTGCCAAGTGTATATGTGATATATAGAATGTCAATTGAGATTCTCAGTCATCCAAGAAATGTGCTTTTTGAAGAGGTACCTGGACATTCTAGTTTTTCTTTTAAGATGTTTTACTTTTTATCCAAGAAGCTTCTTCAGCTCTGACTGGGTGGTAGGGAATTGAGGGATTTATACTCCTTACAAATGACTAGCTGTATGCAAGGAGTATAAATCCTTCCATTCCCCATCATCCAGTCAGAGCTGAAGAAGCTTCTTGGATAAAAAGCCAAACATCTTAAAAGAAAAACCAGAAAGTCCAGTTGCTTTTTGAAAAAGCACCTTTGTGATATATAGCAAATAACGTAAAATGTTGCAGAAACCATAGAGTAAAACAATATTTTTTACAATTTCCTTGTTGAAAGATGAACAGTACCATAGGATCAACAAGAATTTTTCCTTCCTATAAGTGCTTATGGTTTTTCAGAGCATACATATTGTATCAGAAATAATGACAACCCTTGTTATATAAATATTGTGTTGTTGCTTATATTGAAGCATGCCATGTCTTTTCTGTTACAAATCCCACTAGGGTATTTACACTAAATAAGAATTTAGTGTAAACCATTTAAATGGTTTGACAGTATGGCAATAAGAAAACTTACATTACATTAACTTACATTTATTGTTGCAAATAAAACTGAATTTCCTCACAGATTCTTGGTGGAAGGCATGAGCAAGTACTCCATCAGAAGAGCTTAATCAGGCAAAAGCGAGAATGGATTGTCCCACCTTCCATGATCTGGGAAGAGCGTGACAATTCCTATAAGAACCCAATTGCTAAGGTAAGTCAGGCTTGGAAACAAATATGTCTTTCATTTTGTCCTTAATAGTTTTCCTCAACCTGGACTGGAGTTGCAATTCTCTCCTTCTATGCTGGATAGAAACGACCATATAATATCAGTTGTACAATTTGGATTTATCATTGGAAAAAATTCAAAAGAGCAATAATTATTATTTAGTATAGCTAAATTATAATACAATAATCTTATGAAAGGAGTTCAATATATTTGCTTTTTTCTCCCCTAATCGAGGATTAATTAAAAAGACTTTTGCCTACCCGTATGAGAATCAGAAATGCAATTATTTAGCTAGATTATATATTTTATTATTTGCTAGATCCTGGATAGTGGACTACAAGGGAACATCAGCACATAGACAAATTTATATACTATTTCTATTGAGACCATCTGTTCTACACATGTACAAAGGAGGTTCAATAAGATTCTTTCCATTCTCCATTTAGTTTAGTGGACAATTTTTCTACATACATATAATGATCCATCTGTTGGAGGATGAGCTGTGACTTTTGTTTGCTGGTTAAATCTATTTAATATGGTTTTAAATTTCTGCCTACCTCTGAAAGTATTGTCTATTTTAAGTTTATAAAGGCTAGTTCATACAAACACGTGGCTTGGGTACGGAATGAAATTATTTTGATATTTGTATAATTCATTGATTCGGTAATTAAGTAGGCCACATCCAGTGCAATGCAAACCACTTCTTCCGGAAGATTTACATTCCTGGAAATTGTTGGACCAATTTGAAGTAGATAGATTGGAATGGTCCAGAAGAAAAACACCGTTTTTCTAGAGTTTCTCAGAATGTTACATTCACAGAATAAAAAGTTTTGTGCACACGCACACACATACACACACACATTAAAATAACATAAATCTTTATCTTTTTTAAAGATTAAAACATTTGTTTTAAGTTGCAGAGACAAACAATAAATATTACTTCTTTTCTCCTATTCCATATAGATTCGGTCTGACAAAGATGTTGAAAAAGGAGTAATTATTACTTACACCATTTCTGGTCCAGGAGTCACAGAGCCACCATATGGTTTGTTTGTGATTAATGGGAAAACTGGTGAATTGAATATAACTGGAATAGTCGATCGGGAAAAAACCCCAATGTTACATGTAAGCAGATGAAAGTGATCGATTCATATCTGTTTTCAGCTCTTGATTTTTGTGTTTATAGAAATTTATTTTTCTTAATGTGCCAGTGGAAAAAAGTGAGCAGTATAATTCGGTGATAATTATTTCTATTTTTCTGTTAATTGAATGAATTGAATGAAATCAATCATGTGGACTTCTCATTAATATTCTTTCAGCTGAGGGGCTATGCACTGAATCAAAGAGGTGAAAATCTGGAAAGGCCACTGGATCTGCGGATTAGAGTTCTGGATGTAAATGACAATAGCCCAGTGTTTTCACAAACAAGCTTCAGTGGTTCTGTTGAAGAATTGTGTGAAGTGGGTACGTTCTAGACTTTTATGTACATTTTCATTCTGACTCAGCATTCCTACTCTTTTCCCTATACAATTTTTTGAATCCATTCCTTCCCTCCTATTGCCTCTGTGCCCTTGTCACAGATAAATATTTTATTGATTATAGTATTGCAGTAGAGTAGAAATATCACAGATTTTTGTTTTATAGTATTGCTGAGGTAGGACATTAGAAAACATAATTAAATAGTTGAGAATCAGTGCTTTATTGACAGTCAAAATATAAGGTCTAGGAGCCAAAAATCTTGGTTTTAGTTTTACGTTAGTTTCAAAATAGTATGGAGTAGGGACTACATGTACTTACCTTACCCTTAACCTTGTTCTCCTTACTATATAGTAATTAAAAAGGCAAAATCTTGTAGTGGATTTGGGGAGAACCGTAACAGTCTGAGGATAGGGGCTGAGGTAAATTGCTGCTTAGGATAAATTTCTACAGTGATACTTTTAGCAGCACCTCCTCTATTATTGGGATGACATAAATATACCTTTCCTTTCCATGGTATCTAGTGTGCCTATTCTACCACTGAATACTTGTTTGGGTTTATATAACCTGCTTTTCATTTAGGAACTTGCAATGGCATGCATCACACCAATACAGGTAGTCCTCAACTCACAATAGTTCATTCAAAGTAACAACAGCATTGAAAAAGTGACTTATGACATTTTTTTTCATACTTGTGACTGTTGCAGTAATCAAAATTTGGATGCTTGGCATCATATTTACGATGGTTGCAATATCCTGGGTTCATATGATTTTCTTTGGTGGCCTTCTGACAAGCAAAGTCAATGGGAAAGCCAGGTTCACTTATCAACCATGTCACTAACTTAACAACTGCAGTTATTCACTTAACACCTATGGCAAAATAGGTTGTAAAATGGGGGGGGGATTCACTTAGTAAATGTCTCACTTAGCAATAGAAATTTTGGGCTCGTTGTGGTCGTAAGTTGAGGACTATTCAGAAGCTGAGATTGCATTAGATGAATTTGCTCCTGTGTGCCTTCAAAAATGGTATGTGCCCATAAGCAGGACAGCTAGAGTGGTCAGGAAGAAAATGTGCATTCTTAGTTGTTGCCGTTTGATATATCCTTGTAAAATGCTTGCTCTTCTTAGGTACTCTTGTGCTGAAGATAAATGCAACTGATGCAGATGAGCCCAATACATTCAACTCCAAAATTGCTTTTAGGATTATTTCCCAAGAACCTAATGATCTTAATGCATTTGTCATTAACAAAGCAACAGGCGAAGTCCGGACAGCAACATTCCAGCTTGACAGAGAGGTATTTTCTCTCTCTCATAAGGGTTTCTTATTTATCTAGTTTCTTATTGAGTTGGTAGAAGGATGGAAGGTATTAAGGTTTCATGAAAATTCCTTTATGAAACGAGAGGAGCAACCATTCTCCATCAATCGCCTTCTTCTCTTCCTGGCCCGGATTATCTTCCAGTTCCGGAAATTGGGTATGCTGCGTGTAAAAGGAGATGTTGCGGTTGCCTTCTTGGTCATTCCCAGTAAGCTAAATGTCACTCACTATCTTACCTTCAGCTTACAAATAAATAATTAAAAGATACAGAAACTATTAATAAACCAATCCATCGTATTAATACTGTTAATCCTCGATTTACAACCTTTTATTTGGTGACCGTTCCAATGTGGTTAAAAAAGACAGTTGCACTGTTCTGGGGTCATGTAATTACCATTTGTAATCTTCCCAGCCAACCTCTGACAAAGTCAATGGGTGAAGCCAGATTCGCTTAAGGACTGCATGATTCACTTAACAATTGCAGTGATTTGCTTAACAATTGCGGCAAACGAAGACCATAAAATGGGACACAAGTCACTTAATAACTGCCTTGCATAGCAACAAAAATATTGGGCTCAACTATGGCTGTAAATTGAGGACTACCTATTTGTATTTGAAGGTAATAATAGTTCACAAAAGATGGGCAAGTAGTTAACTGAGTAAAACATAATCATTAATATAAGCTAAACTGGATAGGATTCACTTAGTCAAATTTTCAGAGGATTCCTTTGATATTTATGTCCAGACCCAATTGATCTTTGAACCTCAACTTTGAAGCTCAGCATGAGTATCTGAAACAGGATTCTTCCTCGTGAGACCTGCAGTAGATTTTATCTGACTATCGGTGCTATAAGTTGGCTTAAAGTAATAATTTTTAGTCATTGGTTTGTAAACCTAATAAATAAAATACATATTTAAGGATATATATGCGTAAACACACATGCATAATCTAATATTTGTATATTTTTCCAAAACCTTATTTCATTTTGGCTCGACCTAGGCTCTTATGAATATATTGAATGTTTATGAAATACATAGTCTTTTGTGATATGCTTTTATTGTGACTCTCCTGCAAAGTCTCAATACGGTTGTGAGCCTTTTTTAAAAAAAAAAATTCAGAGGGTTAGAAAAAGAAAATGTCCTTATCTTTTGATGAGAACCACAATGCGTACATGGCTTACACCTTTGCGTCTTTGTTTCTCTGACCTTCTGCTTTGTAGTCTTCTGCTTTTCACTACTATAGTTCAGAATATTTTGATTACCTCCACTCTCAGGCACCATGATTTTCTGTGTGCATTCTGGCAGCAAAAAGGAGGTGTCACATTTCTGCACTTCACACCATGAGCTTTCAAAAAAAAAGAATGGGAAATATGTTGCCTCCAAATGTGGCCAGAAGTTACAGATACTGGTAGTTGTAATTCAGCAATCTCTGGGGTGATATTGGGTCCCACTCACTCTTTAAAGTTCCGCAGGTCAGTGGCACAATTCTTTTTCAGCCATAGGGGTGGCATTCCACTTTTTGCTTAGACACTGTTTTTATATATCCTAACTTCCATGCTATTTTAATCTTCTGCAGATACATAATAGTTATTCCTTGGTTGTAGAAGCAAAAGATTGTGATGGAGAGGAACGTGGAAATGCTCAAGTGACTAGTCTACAGATCAAGATTCTGGATGTTAATGACAACATCCCTAAACTTAACAGGACTGCGGTGAGTAAAAAGTGTGCGGTTATTTGGGTGGGTTTCTTCAATTATGATCAGAAAGATGCATTATTATAAAAAATTTCTTCATTTACAGTATGAAGGAAGTGTAAAGGAAAATATAGCTAATGTGGAAATCATGCGCCTGGACGTCTTTGATGACGATGAGCAATTTACTGATAACTGGCTGGCAAACTTTACGATTGTGTCTGGCAATGAAGGAGGCTACTTCCGTATAGAAACAGATTCACAAACCAACCAAGGAATTCTTACTCTGATTAAGGTTAGTGGAGGGGAAGAGGCAGTACACTTGCCACATTGACCTCAATCCAGTAAGAGTACCTAGCAAAAGAGAACAATGACAGCATACAGCACAATGGCAAGCTGATGTGTTCTGTATGAGTATTCTTCACAGATTGGTATAATTTCATTGTAACCACATCTCTGCCCTGTTTCTATTATGATGAGATTTTATAGTATGGTAGAATTTTTTGCACATAAAACATGCCTACCTACAATACATACCCACAAACAGCATCCATTAATTCAGATTCTTATACTTCACAATAATTTAAACAGTTCATTTTCTGATCCACAAATTATACTACAAATCTGTAAAGTAAATTTGTTTTACTTTAAAATTGTGAGATAATATAACATCAGTTTTTAATAACCATTATCAATCAGAGTCAGTTAACAAATCCCATTTTCTTATGCCAAAGAATAAGGGTGAATAGAGGTTCCTAACTCAATTGCTTGATGTATCTGTTTTTTAACCTATGATCTAGATATGCTTTGCTCTCTTCTGTGCCTTGAACTCCATTTGATACAGTGACATGAAAACTCAGGAGTCTTTTCTGCTCTTTTTTATTGATAGGACTCTTGACTCTGAATGGATTTTCAATGATATTTCATAGCAAATAATATTGAAGTTGCAGTAGTAAACTTCCACCAAGAGTCCAGAAGGATATGCAAGTCGGTAAATTGAAATTACATTCTAAATGATGGTTTTCTTTTTTTCATTCTTCTTCAGGAAATAAATTACGAAGAATTGAGGACGATGGACCTGAAGATAGTAGTTTCTAACAAAGCAGCATATCACAAATCAATTATTAATCAAGTTTCCCAAGTAAAACCAATTTCTGTCAAAATTAATGTGGAAAATGTGAGGGAAGGCCCTGTATTTAAGCCCCAAACATTAGTGATTAAGACAACTGAAACAATGAAAATAAACCAGATTATTGGAAGCTTTCAAGCTTATGATGAAGACACACAAAAAATAGCACAACGCATCACGTAAGTCTTTTTGTTTGTTTGCTTGTTTGTTTATTAGTAAACTTACAGGCCTCTCAACTTCCAGTGACTCTGGGCAGCTCACAATAGTCAAGAGTTACGATAGAAAGAGAACATTCTGTTCCTATATGTTTTCAATATGCCAGCCACATAGTTTTACTACTATCATGTTCACTACTTTCACTACTAACATTTCTCATCCTTTATGCTGAAAAGAGAGGTGCAATTTATGCCTTATGCTTCCCAGTGCTTTTTGTTTTAAATGTCTTTGCAGTGACTGCTTTGGATAATAAACATACAGTATCAATATGATGGAGGTATATCCATATTTATATGGTCTTCCAGAGTTGCTTCTTGTGAAATGGGAAGCATATAAATATGATTGATAAATAAATAGTGGAAACATTAATATTTACATGTCATCCTAAAATATGGTTTTGCACATTGTTTGTTGAACAAATTAGAATTAGCGCAAAAGAACAACTCAGAAATGATTTATTGGGCCAACTTCTGGTTTTCCAATTAAGCTGTCCTTGCTATGTGGATTTGCTAGAGATTTGAACAAGGCACACCTAGAAATACACCAAGAATAAATGTATTAAAATGTGACTGTTAATATTGATGTATTTAACAATTATTTGACTGTTATTTATTAACTATGAATAGAAATATAGTAAGTAGATGTTTTAAAAGTTTGTATGTCTCCTAAGAAGTATATATTTCCATATGTATGCTTAATCTTAGGTTTGTATGCTTACTTTCACATATGTTTAAAATTTATACAGGTATGCCAAAGGAAGTGATATTGCGAACTGGTTGATAATAAATGCTAAAACAGCTGAAATCAGACTACGTAAAGTCCTAGACTATGAATCATCCTATGTCATCAATGGTACTTACACTGCAACAATTTTGGCCATAAGTACTGGTACGTAGTTAATATTTTTGTGGTACTTTATAATGGTTCTTAATTACCAAGAGTTGTAAGATCTTTGGGGTGGGGGGGTCAAAAAGCTTTGGCAAAATGCCAGCAAGTGGAATAGAGAAAGCATGAAAAAAACCCAATATTCCTACTCTGAAGAAATTGGTATTGGTCTCAATTTCATCAAACCACAGCCAAACTAGGATCCTGTTTAGATGAACAAATAGGATTAAGATTATACAACATCCAAACATGCTAAACCAGAAATGTGGTCATTTCTGCATCAAGATTAGGTTCTGGTAACCCAGTTTCCAGATTAGTTTTGAGTAATTTACTTCAACCTGGTTACCTTAGACTCAAAATCGGAAGAGAGATTTAATGTAGGGCAATTTTCTTTTCCAGCTACCTGCAGAGAAATCGTACAGAGTGATTTTCAATATGAGATTTCTTCAAGCTCTCCATTTCTTTGAAGAGCTTTCTTTCTTTCCATTCTTGGTGAATATGCAGATTTCTAAATAGGTGCAGAAAATGATTGAAAAAAATATAGATCCCACTCTCCATCTATGCTCTGTCCACAAAAGAAGAAAGGATGCTGGCAGAATAACTGCTGTCTTATAACCAAGGCAGATTTGGAATTTATTGGTCCTCTGCCACTGCATGGTGAACCCCTTCCCTGGTGAACCCCTTCCCTGCCGCCACAGCAGATTGGTTTTACGTATCATGCACAATCAGAATCACAATATTCTGCGTATTAGAATGCCTAGGTACTTTTCTCTTTGAATAAATCCATAATGCAATCATACACCTTTTATGTTATCTGGAATATCTGGTGAGTTCTTAGTACTAAGTGGATGCAGGAGCAGAGGATGTAGTGAAGCTTGTGCATTACACTGTACAGTGAGAGCTACAAAACTAACATTGACCAGAATCCAATCTGAGGCTCTGGGTTTTTGAATAATTGTCTGATTCTGAGACTGCAAGAGGGAAGTAACACTGCAGGTAATCCTTGAGATATGATCAGTCACTTAACAGTCATTTGAGGTTACAACAACCACCACCCCCACAAAAAAAAAGCTACATACAACCCTGTTTCAAACCTACAGTGGCTGAAGCACCCTGTGGTCATTCACCCTTATAAATGTTAAGCAAAGTCTGTTGAGGAACACTGTCTCACTTAATGGGTATCACCATTAGCAGGCTCCATTACAGTCATAGGTCGAAGACTACCTGTATAACAGTAACCTCCAAAATTTTCATGGGTATGAATTGTATTTTACATTCAATTCAACTATGCAATCTAGTGAATTGTAAACTTCTCATAAATCAACCACTGGGTTCATATTAAAAATCTTGTACATGTTTAAAGAAGCAAACAAATTTCTAATTAATCAGTAGTTTGTATAAAAATGGATATGTTTTCTGTGCTTTGCAGACTATCCTCCAAAAACAGCTACGGGTACCATCGTTATTCAGATTGAAGACAAGAATGATCACTGCCCAATTCTTGTGACTCAAAAAACAACTGTTTGTACTGATACAAAGTATATTAATATCACTGTTGAGGATCGAGATAGACATCCAAATGGTGGTCCTTTCACTTTCATGATCATTGATGAACCTGAAAGAATGTCAGACAAATGGAGAATTGGCCATGTAGATGGTAAGTATGAGTCATGCCACATTTTATAGAGATTGGAATAGCCCTGAAGCTACAGATTTTAGGAGAGCAGAGCTTATGGCTTGGTTCCTGCTTCAATTCTTGGTTTCAAGAATTGGCAGTCAAAGTCAGGGGAGAAATATTAATAGTGCTGCTTCATTGTAAATTAGACCAGATTCAATTGCAAACAAGTTGAGCAATTGTTTGTGGTATATATGAATGAAATGGGGCAACATGTTTAGTACCAGTTGCAAAATAAAACAGAAGTAGGCTTATGAGGGCAGCCCAAAACCTTCAAACTCCACAGCTAGGAAATCTTTTCTTCTCGTGATTAACTGAATTCCCTTCAATAGATTGAACTGTGATAAATATATTGTGGTAGCTGGATTATCAAGTAATATGTCAATGTCCCAGATAATTGTTGCTTTGTTCAGAATGGTTCATTTTTCCAAAACATTGTGCAGTAATTACAGACTATGGAAATATGTAGTTTTCTCCTAATAAGAATACTTCTTTTAAAGTAGCATCTCCTAATTTGGCTGTGCTTTAAATCAGCTCCCAGAATTCCTATCAATGACCAGGAATCCTGGGAGTTGTAAGATTGGGCAAGGCTGCTTTAGCTATCAGAACCAAAGGTAGGAAGACTTCTGATCTAAGTCCTTTCCTTACTGAACATTGTTGTTGTTGTTTTTCTTCTTTCCTACAAAGGGTCCAGAGCTCAGCTTATACTCCAGGATGTGACACCTAACACATACAGAATTCCTATTTTAATAAAAGATAACCAAGGCTTGAGCTGTCCTGACCAACAAGTACTGGAGGTGGACGTTTGTGATTGCAAGGATGGCACTGGTTGCCAGAGTAGAATTATCAGCTCCTCTCTTTTTCTGGGACCCTCTGCAGTTGCACTGATGATCTTGGCATTTTTGCTGCTACTACGTAAGCATTTAATATTATTTCATAATGTCTAGAGCATGGTGTCCAACCTGCTCTACTGTTGAGAGCAAGGCTGTTCAACTTTGACAACTTTAAGACTTAGGGACTTCAACTCCCAGAATTCACTATGCTGGCTCGGGAATTATTGGAGTTAAAGCCCACAGGCCTTAAAGTTGCCAAGGTTGGACACCCCTGGTCTAGAAGCATGACTGGCACTAAGCAGAACTCTGAAACAAAGGCCTCTTCATATGAGAGCTTGCAAATCTTTTACTTCGTTTGAAAAAGAAAGACTGTAGACATTATCCAGCCATAATTAATTTCTCCCACAATAAATAGAAATCCAATTTTTATTTGTTGCATATAATGTGGAATGAAGCATTTAAAAGGACATAAAAATGTTAGGGTGGTGGAGTGGTGTTTTTTTTCTCTTGTTCTTCCTCTCTGTTTAGGAGCTGGTGTTCTGCTCTCACTTTGATTGTTGCTCAAATTCTCCATTGCTTTCTTCTTAAGAAACCCATACTGGCAGCTAAGAAGCTTCCAAACTTCCATAGGTCAGGTTAGGGCAGAATGTGTTTAAGTATATACACACTCAGGCCTGACCTAATCTTGCTAGTACTAAATATAGACAGATTTATTTATTTTTTGAAAATGTTAATGTTTCAAAGTACTTGTTTTTACACCTAGCAACACATTCTATATCTTATCATTCTGGAATGTGCACAAACCTGAATATATAAAACTCACCTAAAAACAAGCAAGCTAAAAAAAATAGAAGTTTCTTTCTGATGATAGTGCTTGATGCTGTGTTCTCATTGGAATGTTAAAAACTGTTGAGTTGGTAGAAAAGAAAGTTCACGCCTGAGCTGGAAAGTTGCCTGTTTATCATTGTGTAGGTGACTCATCTCTCCTGGCAAGTTTTAATAATTTTGTTCTGATTGTGAAATGTTTGAGATGGATCAGAGTGCAGATGCGCTCAATATTTTTTCTCCTAGCATTTGATCATTGTTGCTCACTGTTGCACTGTGTTTCCTTTGCAGTCGTGCCTCTCTTACTGCTGGCCTGTGGCTTTGGATCGGGCTTTGGATCAGGAGGTGGAAAAGGATTTGTAGCTATACCTGACAACAGTGAAGAAATGTTGCGTAACTGGAACAGTGAAGGAGCAGCACCTGAAGATAAGGTATATTGTTTCCCATTCCTTGGGAATGGGAAGAGGACATTAAAAGGATTAATGCATCTAGGGCAGTGTTTCAAAGTCAGCATCTTTAAGATGTATGGACTTCAACTTCCAGAATTCCTCAGCCAGAATCTTAAGGTTGCCAAGATTGAAAAACGTACTCATCTAGAGCAATGTGAATTTCCCAGGCCTGTAGTCATAAATATGACCAAAGTCCCATTTAAATCACTGGATTTAGATTGCAGCCATAATCACACTCACTGGGAACTCAAGTCAAATCCATCTTACTACTGAATCATGATGTATAAGAATGCCCTATGGGTTTCATATCAACATATAAGCAGCATGGGAGGAAATAATTCTCTCTTTTTTTTTCTGGACTACCTTCAAAAAGCTCTGCTTTTCCACAATTGTTTCTGTCTGCTATTCTCCAAACGTGCTTTTAGAAGGGTCTTGACAGGAACACACAATACAGACTATTCTTTATTGACCAGGTGTGATTGGACACACAAGGAATTTGTCTCCAGTGCATAAGATCTCAGGATACATACAAGCAACAAAATGATAAATCATATGATACAATCATAAATCATAAAATGTAACCAGCAAAGTGATAGTGATAAGATACCAACAGGAGTAGGTAATACTGTAGGAAAGATGTCAAGGATAAGGGCAATACAGTCCTACTACATATTAGTAATACAATCATAAAATTGTAATGCAGTCTTACATGGTAGCCACAGTTTAGAACCCTGGATTTTCTGTTGGTGTATTATAAACTTTTCCCTTTTCTCTAAGTAAGTACCAAACCATGCCAATAGCAAATTCACCTAGCAATCTAGCAAAGCTATTCTTGTCATGATTTCAGTGCTACTCCTTCAAGAAAGCCCATCTTTGTTTTTTAATTTGTCGCCTTTGGTGTTAGGCAATGCTGAACCTCCTTACTTCCTCTGGATCAGAAAAATATGTGGGCTTTGGAACAGCAGCCGTGGGAGCAGGAGGAGCAGCAGCAGCAGCAGCAGCAGGGAACAGCTTCTCCTCTACAATCAAGGAGCAGAACATGAGCAACAACACGATCACGAGATGGCAGAGAGAAGACCGAGAAGCTCTTCTTTCTGGGGGAGAATTTGCAGGTGCCTCAGCCGCAGGGGCAGGCTTGACAGCAGGTGGGACAATGCTGTTAGGAGCTGGCAGAACTTTAGCTATGGATACTGGCATGATCATGAATGAAGAATTCTTACGGGGTTACTTCAATGAGGTAAGAGTCTACTTTCTGAATTCACTCTATTGATCAACACTTTCTATCCTTTGATAATATATAGTCACGGGTGTTATTAATCTTGTTGAATTTATAGATTTTGACTATGTATTGTTGCAGGGAGGGGCGTCTTCTTCCCATTTGGGCAACTGCAAGCCAATTCCTTGGGGGGGCCAGCTGGCTTCATTAAGAAATCTGTTTGGGAAGATAGAGAAAGGGTGGGCCAGGGTGGAGAATAGGATTGAAACAGCCTGGTTTTGCATGCTTTTGAGGAAGTTGGGAGCAGGAGGATAATTAGGTCTGGAAGGCGCATTTTCCCTTTATATTTTGCTATATATGCTGGAAGACACTTTCATGGATTTTCAAGAGCGTTACAGTTCTTCATATTTCCAGAGAGCAATCAGCATAATTATATCAGACAAATCCTGATATACACAAATATACAAATCCTGCCTTCATTCCCTTTCATTCATTTCTTTTTTATAACAATACATTTAGTTGCAATTGCAACTATCAATATTTCTCTTAATGATATATCAGTTGTCTTTTTTTCTCTCCCATATTGCCTTTTTTCAAACAATCTTTAAAAGCCATTTAAAAAAAAAATACAAAATGAGAACAAGAAGGAAGAAGAATCTACATGATATATATTTACCAGTAGTCTCTGGGTTACTAATGAACTCAATACGATAATATAAACAATAAAAAATATTACTGTGGATTATCACAAAATCATACGTATTGCTTCATCTTTTAATTAGTAGAAAACATTGCCTTTTCCAAAATAGATCACAAATTTCTGGACTTCAAGGAGAAAAAATGGCAAACTGAAAACATCTGCATTAAAAGTAGAGCCAATGATTTCAGGATAGTAAATAAAATTTACTATAATTCAGTCCTAAAGCTGCCACTATCACCAACCTAATATATGTTCTATCATTAATTCATCTAAAAAGATTGCTTGAGGGGGAAAAAGAGGGAAAGCTTATGAGGTAATAATGCAAGGGAGTAAAGCTGATCTTTTTAAATCTACTGTTCTGGATTTCTGCTGCCAAAATATGAATGTGGTGATCCTTGTTCTTTTCATCCACATAAAATAGCTCTGGATTGAAGTGTTCAATGTATGAATGTCAACTGTAATATGAAAATATTATGTAACTCTAATCTGATCTAAACACTTTAGGTTAAAAAAATGATAACTCTGAAATGTGAGTGCTCTTTTTTTTCTTCCACATTTTAGAAAGCTGATGCTTTTGCTGATGAGGATGAACTGCAGCTTGCCAAAGATTGCCTACTCATTTACTCCCAGGAGGAAGAGCACGAGTCACCTCATGGTTCAGTTGGCTGCTGTAGCTTTATTGACGGTGACATTGATGAACATTTTTTGGATGACTTGGGAGACAAATTTAAGACTCTGGCTGAGATCTGCATGGGCAAACACACAGACCTAAAAGCAGAGCAGTTCAGTTCTCATGCCCAGAAAGATACAACTAATCCTGCAATGAATGGATCTGGTTTGCAGTACTCACAGCAGAAGCATGCAGCGAATGCCGAACACACCTATTCGTCAGGGGCTGTCTACAACTTATCTGAACCTGTGAAAGGCTTTGGCTCAGAAACGATGACTGAGAAAATAATAACTGAGTCAACTGTTACAACTAAGTCTAACCTGCAGCCAGTGAAGCGAATCCCAGATCCTGTGGTTAGCAGCAGCAGCAGCAGCAGCAATGTTGTAGTGACAGAAACATCATATGGGACGGTACCATCAACAGTCATCCGTGACCCTCAGTTTAAGGAGAATGTGGTAGTGACAGAAAGGGTCCTTGCACCTGCTTCTAGCTTGCAGGATATGTTAGAAATACCTGCTGGTGTCTTCCCAGACCTCCCAGATTCAAAATACGTTGTTGTAAGAGAAAGGGAGCGAGTCCTTGTGCCTAGCTCTGATTTAAAGGCTTCTGTAAGCATCCCCAATCTGTCAGAAGGACAGAATGTGGTAATAACTGAGAGAGTAGTGACACCAACTCCTGTTAGGCGGGCCACAGCTGAAGCAGGCACTTTTCCTAACAATGAGAGGCAGGAACAGATTTTAATTTCTGACTCATTCTTTAACCAAAGTAGCCCACAGGAAGTGTTTCCCACAGGTTCAACCTTAAGCAAGTCCTCAACGGTAAAACAAAAATACAGCACGGTCCAATATACACGCTCATAGGTGGATTTCCATCCATCACTTCTTATGTATTATTTAGCATTGGTAGGATTGATTGATTGCCATTTCAAGAGCTTGAATGTGTTGTTTCACTTTCCTAACGATGCATTTTACCAACTCACAAGGATGCAACCTTAAAACCATATAATAGGTGCAATTCCTCACTGTGAAATGCAGGATTTATTTTTGAAAAGTTACTCATAAGATAGCTCTGTTAAAGAGTTCCTGAAATTAAACCCCCCAAGCTTACGCAGATAGACAATCGAAAGAGCAACATAAATTACTGTATGACTCCAAAATCAAAATATTTTTACTCTGGTTAATAGTCCAGCTGAAGTTAGTTCAGTATTTATTATGCAGCAAATTCTACTGGCCTGTACCATGAACCTAAATATACTTAGTTTTTTTTTCTAATTAATACACTGGATTTATTGTTTCAACAATATAGTTAATATTGAAGTATATGTATCAAAAAAAATTGAATATATTTTAGTTTGGTAAAATTGACTTCAGAAATGTATTTTTAAAGAGTTCAGTATTCACAATCATTTACCACTGAGTTTAGTGGGATTTATTCTTCGTCAGTACAGTCAGGATGCAGCCTTAAAACCACAATTTTAACTGGTGTGTTATTCATCGTATATATAGGAAGCGTTCCTATTCAATAAAAGAATGGATCCCATTTCATTTTTTAAAAAATAAACTCTATAGATTTTTATAAATTCTTTACCAATAGAAACTGAGTGAAATGGTTTTGTTTCTTGTATTTATATATTCTTTTTGAAATGAATTAGTTTATCTGCATGGTTGGTTTAGATATTGTATTTGAACAAGGTAATACATTTCTGAAAGCAGAATTTCTGAAAGCAGTGTTTTTTTCCGCGGATGTCAGATATCACACAATCATAACATCAAAAAATTTAACATTTTTCAATCTCAAGATTTCTGCCATTAAAAAATAAATAAATATTTACTTTTTTTAAAAAAAAAAAAAGGTTCTGCACTGTGAGTTGCCTTTTCTGCCCAACAGTCTATTGGGATTCCACACCCAATTGGACAGGCCCAGTCTGTTTTGTGAAAGGAAGATTTCCTAAATATGGTTCCCAAGGGTTTGTTTCAAGTCTGATGATCCCTCCCTCTTGGGAAATGTGGTTTTTATTAGAAGAGAATCAGCCTGTGGAATGCGCTTGTAAGATAGAAATCATCTTTTGCTTTCTTTGCATGTGAAATGGGCTCCTGTGTTCAGCAATAGGAGATAGAGTGTTTCTCCCAAAATAAAACCAGGGCTTATAATAATTTTTGCTCCCAAAGTTGAATTGGGGCTTATGTTTAAGTTTGGTCTTATTTGGGGTACTAAATGTGTCCGTCTGGCTGACGATCTTAATGGGGGCTTATTTTGTGGGGTAGAGCTTATACTACTAACATCCTGGAAAATCCTGCTAGGACTTATTTTCCAGTTGGGTCTTATTTTCAGGGAAACATGGTAAGCCACTGGAGACTGGTTAAATTAAAAATAAAATGTATCCAATGTAGGATGGTCATATTGGTCTTAAGAGAAGGAGAGAATTCAAGCAGTCAGGTCTCTGATACTTTTGTGCCATGAATATATATATTTGCTTTATGCACTTTGTAAAGGCTTAATCTAACTAATGACCATAGCATATTTGATGTGGCTATTCTTGTACATATGTCTGATGAATAATATGAGAAAATATAAATACATATGTTTACATTTTGGGAGTGAATAATGCATACAAGTAAAGGGAATTAGATATCTGCTTATTTTACATTTCTCTTTCCTTTTTAAATCCATAGTTTTGTCCATGGCTGTGGTATATGATCCTGTGTTATAGTGAATTTAAGCCACTTCATAGTAGACCTACGGTTATTACCATATTTTTCTCAGCTGGTATGGGAATGCAACCTGCTTGATTTCAAAATGTAATAATGATTTCAGGGTTCTTAGCTTTCATTTTATATAACAACTTTGCTGTTTAAATACTAGTTTTGTAGTCAAGGAATGGGCTGGATATGCTGACATTTTTAATGGAATTGGAAATAAAACCAAGAAAACTATGTGCTTTGCAATTCTTTTAACTCAATTCTCTTAACATTAAATTCAACTTGCTGTCATAATTTCTGCCAATTATTAGTAAGCTTTGTAAATTGGTACGCTTCCGTGGTATGCTGCCACTGAAAGCTTTCTAATGAGACATAACCTACATGCAAGATGGTGGTGATTCAGAAATCAATGGCATAAAGCAGGAGTTCTCAAACCCTAGGCCAGGGGTGTCCAACCTTGGCAACTTTAAGACTTGTGGACTTCAACTCCCAGAATTCCTCAGCCAGCAAAGCTACCCTAGGCCATGTCCCACTACCAGGCCATAGACTATACAGAATTGGACCACATGAGTGGCTGTTGGGAGCATGTCATTCACATGCATGCAGCTCAACTTGCATGGGCAGTAGGCCGGCAAGTTGAGCTGCGTGCTTGTGGACTGACCTGCCACTCATGCAAGGGCTTCGTATGCACGCACACACATGCATGCCAGTCTACCACTTCCATGGCCCAGTTCCCCTCTCCAGCCACCCCACTGGGCCACCAAGCCTCATAGGTGTTTTGTCTTTGTCACATAGCTTTGCATTCTGTTACGGAGAAAAGACCTTTTTTCATGAGAAACTAAGTGTATTGGACACCTGGTTAATGAACAATGAAAGGATTGAGACATGGAGATGAATTCACAGTGATAAACATAGGGTGAAAAAGTGGATGCTGGGATAGGAGAATTTCACATGAGTTGTATGATGTGATGCATATTTACTTGAGCCTAAAACCTACTGTTATTAATGGAGGTACACAAAGAGGAGTAAATACAATGAACTTAGTTATAGTATGTTTTATTTCTGAGGACGTGTGAAAAGGATTGCTTGTTTTAGAATTGTTCTTAAGGGGTTTATTTTTTCAGGCATGGTTTTTGTAGCATTCCAAGAAACTAGATAAATAAAGGAAGAAATAAAGGTTTGGAGTTAACAACAGCCAGAAGATGAGCACATATCCATTCAATACATTAAGATAGACTCAAGATCCAAAAGGCATTGGGTCCTATGCAACAAGATATAGAATAGCATAGGAATAGAATAGAATAGAATAGAATAGAATAGAATAGAATAGAATAGAATAGAATAGAATAGAATAGAATAGAAT